GCTACGACGGGTCCACGAAAGGCAGCGAGGTGACCACGAAGGGCTGCAAGGGGGCCACGAAGGGCTGCAACGGGGCCGCGAAGCACAGCGAGGGGGCCACGAATGGCTGCAACGGGGCCACGAAAGGCAGCGAGATCCCGATTCCTAGGTAATCTGCGAAGGAGTCCTAAGCGTACGCGCGACTCATGGGTGCCTGGGTGTCGGGAGCGCGGCGCCAAAGCAAATTGCAATACATTCCAACGCAGGGGCGCTATTCTTTAGTATATTATAAGCAAGTCTCCAGCGAGAGCGCGACTCCAGAGCGCAGGAGGAGCGATTCCTGGATACATCGTAGAGAAGTCCCAAGCGAGAGCGCGATTCTTGAATAAAATGCGACGAAGTCTCGGGCGGGAGCGGGGGTCCTGGCTAAATTGTGAGGAAGTCTCAGGCGGGAACCGTTGTTGTTGTTGTTGTTGTAACCCGGGGGGCCAGGGGGCTAGTTTGAACAGGAAGACTTCCCTTGACAAAGAAACAAGGTGCGATCCCCTGGGGGGGCACTTCAATTTAAACCAATCAATGTGCACGGGTGTGGGGGGACCAATAATAATTATTCTTCAAGAATGAAACTTCAACAACAACAACAACAGCAGCAGCAACAACAACAACAACAACGCAACCAGCATAATCTTCACCACGTTTACATTTTAGCGACGCACCCGGGGACATCGGCACGCCGCATGCGCATACATCTTCAATTATCATACGAGCCCGCCGCAGGCGCCGATTTTTCTGTGCTAAAGCAATGTGGATGGGTCACGGTTGGGTCGCAGGTGGGTCGACGGTGGGTCGACGGTGGGTCGCGGGCTGGATCGACGGTGGGTCGCGGGTGGGTCGCGGGTGGGTCGCGGGTGTGTCGCAGGTGGGTCGCGGGGTGGGTCGCGGGGTGGGTCGCGGGTGGGTCGCGGGGTGGGTCGCGGGTGGGTCGCAGGTGGGACGACGACAACCGACAACAACAGCAACAACAACAACAACGACGATAACAACGACAACAGCAACAATAACAACAACAACAATCAGTTTCAGACCGTTCGTTCTTATCCGCTCGAGTGACCGTTAACGCGTATTTCCCAAACCCTCAATACCCGCCCTCTTCGTCTTCGATCGTACCCCCTTTGGGGGAATACGTTCTTCCCTGCAGGCCGGGCCCCGGCAAGCGGCGGGGCGGCCGCGGACCGTCGGCCTGGCCAGCGGCAACACTGATCGGTGGCAACCCGACTCCACGAGGGACGGACAGGGGACCGACCGCGACGACGACGACGACGACGTCGACGACGACGACGACGACGGCGGCGGCGACGACGACGACGACGACGACGAGCGAAAGCGAGAACGAGAGAGAGAGAGAGAGAGAGAGAGAGAGAAAACGACAGCAGGGGAAGAGCGCGAACGAGCGGGGGCCACGAAGGGCAGATAACGCGGGGCCGCAGAAGGCAATGACGGGCCCATTGAAGGTAGCAGTTGGGCCACGTAGGACAGCGAGGGGCCACAAAGGGCGACAGCGGGGCCACGAAGGGCATGCACATGGGGCCACGCGGGGGCGAACAGCGGGGGCCACGAAAGGCATGCGCACATTGGGCCGCGGAAGGCAAGGACGGGGCCACGAAGAGCAGCGAGGGGGCCACGAAGGGCGACAGCGGGGCCACGAAGGGCATGCATATGTGGCCACGACGGGCGCGAACGAGCGGGGGCCACGAAGGGCATGCATATATGGGGCCACGAAAGGCAGCGAGGGGGTCACGAAGGCCAGCGAGGAGGGCAACGAAGGGCTGCAACGGGGCCACGAAGGAAAGCGAGGGGGCCACGAAGGGCTGCAACGGGGCCACGAAGGGCAGTTAGGGGGCCACGAGAGGATGCAATGGGGCCACGCATGGCGGCGTGGCGGCCACGAAGGGCTACGACGGGTCCACGAAAGGCAGCGAGGTGGCCACGAAGGGTTGCAACGGGGCGACGAAGGGCAGCGAGGGGGCCACGAAGGGCTGCAACGGGGCCACTAAGGAAAGCGAGGGGGCCACGAAGGGTTGCAACGGGGCCACGAAACAAAGCGAGGGGGCCACGAAGGGCAGCGAGGGGGCCACGAAGGAAGGGCAGCGAGGGGGCCACGAAGGGCAGCGAGGGGACCACGAAGGGCATATATGGGGCCACGAAGCGCAGCGAGGAGGCCCTGAAGGGCTGCAACGGGTCCACGAGGGGCAGCGAGATCCCGATTGCTAGGTCACCGGTGAGGGAGTCCTAAGCGTGAGCGCGATTCCTGGGTGCCTGAGTGTCGGGAGCGCGGCGGTTTAGTAGATAGAGGAAATCCCAACGCAAGAACGCTATTCTTGAGTAAATTGCACGCAAGTCTCCAGCGAGAGCGCGACTCCAGAGCGCCGAGAGAGCGATTCTTAAATTAAATGCGATGAGGTCTCGGGCAGGAGCGGGGTCCTGGCTAAATTGCGAGGACGTCTCAGGCGGGAACCGTTGCTGATGTAACCCGGAGGTCAACCACGCAATTTGAGGAGGAGGGCTTTCCCTGATACGTGTGTATATATAAGGGTGTGTTCGGATATCTAGGGCCAGCGCCCTGTTTCGGAGGTTTCCTGGAACTTCAGTGAGTTTCGGATTTGATCTAGAGGTTGAGTTTAAGAAGAGAAAAAGACCAAAGGTGATTCAGAGCTCTGTCTGTAGTCCATCGTGGTTAAAAAGATAGAAAGATGGTAGCGGAGCTGGACTAGCTCCAGCCCCCAGTCCCGCCACTCCCACACCCGCGCGCCAGCGCGCGCGAGATCCGCTATTGGCGTCACGACAGATCGAGACGACGGAGTTCGAGACCACGAGCTCCGCGACGGACACCCACGAGCGTTGGATCCAAGTGGGCGTTGAGGACGATTGGCAACGGACTGTGCTGAAGTTGATTCGGTTCAGCCGAATGAAGGGATACTGACACGAGTCCGGGCAGTACTTGAACTACGTGAAGAATCACAGGAGAGCCGAGCGGTTCGGTCTTCGAGATGGCGCTCAACCGAGAGACATTCAACGAGATGCGCGACGCAGTGCAACAGGCTCGACAGGACATACACGATCTATGGCAACAGAACGCCGCGCTCCAGCGACAAGCAGACCAGGCCGGAGAGCCTGAGATCATCAGACGGCTCGGCGAGGTGCTCGAGAGAGTCGAAGGACGGCCGCCGCCACCGGCGGCCCAGCTGATTCAAGCGAAGGATATCGGGAAGCCACAGGCCTTCAATAATGAAGGGTCGAAGTTCAGTGAGTGGCTCCAGAAGCTCAATAGCTACGTGCTCAGCGTCTTCGGCGTGAACTAACGGCCGGCGATCGAGTGGGCAGTCGACCAGGCGAACGACACGGTCACGCTCACCACGGCCGCTGCGATGGAGCAGTTTGCGAATGAGGCCGAGGGCGGCGAGGCAGTCGACAACGTGGACGAGAAGCTCTCGCAGCTCCACGCGGCGTTCGTCTCGCTCACGGAGGGCGAGTTCTTCGACCTGGTGGTCGGCGCAGGCCAAGGCAATGGAGCTGAGGCCCTACGATTGCTGGTGCGACGCTGGGATCCTACCAGCGGCGGTCGCCGCCGCGTGCTATTCAAAAAAATTATGGCGCCGACCAGGGTCGCGAAGCTCGAGAACTTGGCCGCAGAGGTTGTCAAATGGGAAGAGCTGGTCAGGCGCTACGAGAGGCGCAGAGCCGACGGTCGAGACGCACACCTAGACGACGAAATCAAGATGAGTGCGCTTGAGAGCCTCGTGCCGCAGGACGTCGAGATGCACCTTGCCCTCGACCGTGCCAGACTCCAGGGCTACGCTGCGATGCGAGAGGAGGTCAGGAGCTTCCTGGATACCAGACAAGCTCAAGGATCCCTTGGTCGGTCGAGAGGCGACCCGATGGAGGTCGACTCGTCCGTCAGGAGAGACGACGGCAAGGGCAAGTGCGGCAAGGGCAAGGGCAAACATGGCAAGGGCAAGAACGGCAGCGGAAAAGGGAAGACGGACAATCCGAACGTGATCTGCTGGAACTGCCGAAAGAAGGGCCATCGGGCACAAGACTGCTGGAAGCCCACCGAGAGAGGAAGTAAGGAAGACAAAGGCAAGGGTAAAGGACACGGCAAGGATCCGAAGGGTCAGCGTTTCCAACAGCAAGGCGTTCGCCGAGGCTACCTCAACAACTTCGAGGGCGACGCGCAGAGCACGATCAGCACGCAGCTACCGACATCGGCCTCGCAGGCCTGTGTGTGCAACCAGTCACCCGCCGCGCTCAGCTTCGACGCCTTCGAGCGCGTGCTGGAGCTGAACAGCGCGGGGGCGAAGGGTGAGAAGCAGTGCGTGGAGCGCGTTGCGACGACGTTCGACACCGGCGCCGCTGCCGCGGCCGCCCCGCTCGAGCAGGAGGGCGAGTACACCGAGGCCGACGGCAGCTCATGCCGCGCAGCCACCGGCGAGATCGTAGAGGACGAGGGCGGCGTCGGCATCAAAGGAATGTCGGAGTACGGCGAGAGTATGTTCCTGAAGGGCAGGAGCGCGAACATCGGCAAGCCGCTCCTGTCCGCCTCGGCCACCGCCGCCAAGGGCCACTTCACGTGGGTCGGCACCTTCGGCGGCTACACCCTGCAGGAGAGCGAGCTCACGCAGAAGATCCACCAGGTGATCGACCAGTGCGTGGCCGAGGGCAACGAGGGCATCGTGCTGCTGTACCTGCAGAACTGAGTCTACAAGATGGACGTGCTGATGGGCCAACATGGGGGTCCCACTTCGTCGGGGTCGGCTCCTGTTGCCGAGCTCTGTCCGTGGGCGCCGGCGAGCGCGGACCCCCGCTGGCAGGCAACGGTCCCGCGGGGGGCGCGAGCGCCTCGGAGCCGCCGGAATCGCCGGCAGCGGGGCCGCCCGTAAGACCACCAGCGGCAGCGCTTGGGAGTAGAGATCTCGCTCCCAAGCCAGCTGAAATACGAGAAGGGATCGGGGACGACGAGGACTATGACGGTAATCCTCAGGAGGTTGCGCCAGCGAAAGTGCAAGGACGAACGCGACTACCTACTCGAGCTGAAGTTGACCAACGCGAGGCTACAGGTCACGTTGCGCTTCGAGATTGGTGTGAAGTTTGTTGTGCAGCTCGAGGACTTGGCCAACCACATGAACTACAAGCTGAAGTTCGGGAAGGCGCAGATCCGGTTGCGGCCATCGATTTCGCGTTCATGGGCGAGAAGGTCGGCGTGGAGGACGAGGGCTAGGAGGACAACTTCCCAATGCTGGTGGACAGAGATGCTAAGACGAAGTTGCCCCACTCGACAGCGATTCCGGGCAAGAAGGTCACCAACTTCATGATCAAGATTCTGATGAGCTTCATCCTGCACCTCGGCTACCGCAGGCTGATCTTCCAGAGCGACGGGGAGCCCGCGATCGTGGCGCTCGAGACGGCGGTCGCGGTGGCGACGCCGACGGTGGAATTCCTGCCTCGAGAATCGCCAGCAGGAGAGCACCAGAGCAACGGAGGCATCGAGGTTGCCGCGCGAGAGGTCAAGAGGCAGGTCAGGGCGAACAAGTACGCTCTGGAGGCCAAGCTCGGCAGGAAGGTGGACGATGATCACCCGATCTTGAAGTGGTTACCCCAGGACGCCGTGGCCTGCATTGGCCGGTGCCGACGCGGAACCGACGGCCTCACTGGAGAACAGCGGCGCTCAGGCCGCGACTGGAAGAAGCTGGAAGCAGAGTTTGGCGAGCGGGTGATGTACAGGCCGCTCGCGCCAGGAGGTCGCAGGAGTACTATGGAGGAGCGCATGAAGTCCGGAAATTCCCTGGGCTACCACATGCGGGCGGGGGCCCTGCTCGCCATGACGGTTGGCGGCGCGGAGAAGGCCCAAGGTTTCAAGAAACTGCCGAAGGAGCAAGCCTGGGACAGCAAGGACTGGGCAGCTCTTCGAGGAGTTCCCTGGTCGACTCGCCCGGAGGGAGAGGCGCCCGCTTTGGCGAGAGCGCCAGTCGTGGCTACCGTTCGGATGGAGCCGCGAGCCCCGCGAGCGAGGTGCGTCCTACGCCGCGACATCGAGAAGTATGGCGCCACTGCGGGCTGTCCAGGATGTCTGGCGCTGACGCAGAAGGGCAAGATCACGACGTCCCATAGCGACGAGTGCCGCGACAGGATCGCAGAGCTGATGATGGGTAACGACGAAGATCGAGTACGAGTTACCGAACACCACTTTCGAGCCGGAGACCAAGCAGTACGAGGTCGAGGTGTTCGAGGTCGAGAAGCAGCTGGAGGAGACCAAGCTGCCCTACCGCCGCCCTCTGGAGACGGCGATCGAGCTCCTGCCCCAGAGCCGAGGGACACCGAGATGGCGGCGGCGCAGGCCGGAGGCAGTGGAAGCGAACCGAGCGCTGCCAGGAAGCGCCGAGGAGACGCACCCGACCCTGGACGAGCTACCCGGGCACGAGGCGATGCGAGAGGAAGCTCAGCACCTGCAAGTGCTGAAGCTCGGCTCGCGAAGCGAGCGGCGCCCCAGGAGGAGGCGCAGATGAACGTGGAGGACTTGGTTGACACAGCGATGTCCCAGGCAGCATCATCAAGCTCAGCATCGGCATCGGTATCGAGACCGAGCCAGGCTCCAGATGGATCGATGGACGTCGACTTCCTGGAGCGGATCAACGGCTACGACAAAGGCCGCACGTTCATCATGATCTACGAGCTGGTGATGTTCGAGATGCGGATGAACGCCAACGTGAACGACACAGAGCAGGCGGAGGAGATCGCGCCACTTCTTACCGAGATGTGCGCAGTGGACACTGCGGAGGTTTATTCGCCGAGAAGGTTTGCAGAGATGACGTTCAGGTACGGCCTCGCGCACGGCCTGGCAGTGGATATCGAGACTGGTTGGGATCTGCGATTGCCCGAGCAACGAAAGGAGTACAAGAAGCAGCTGAAGGAAGAAGACCCGCTGCTGACGATCACCAGCCAACCGTGCAAACCATTCAGCAACTTGCGGGCGCTCTTGGACTCAAAGCGAGACCCGAAGATCGTGGAGGCGGAGATCCTGGAAGGCGAGACGTACCTCACTTTCAGCATGGAGATCTGCAAGGAGCGCTACAAGGCAGGGGAGTTATTTCTTCACGAAGCACCTTGGTCAGCGATGAGCTGGCACTGCCCAAGCGTTCAGGAGGTCATACGGTTGGCAGGCGTATTCTTAGTCCATGGACCTATGTGCCGCTGGCACATGCAGGCGACCGACTCCAACGGAAAGTTGGGCTTCGTTCGGAAGGAGACTGGGTGGCTCACTAACAGCGAGCTGCTCGCCGAGATCCTCAAAGGCTACTTCTGGTGCCCCAGGTGTTCGAGAGAAGAACTCGCTCGCCATGTTCATCTGGTTGACGGACGCGCCAAACATGCACAGCGATACCCTCCGAGCTTGGTGGCAGCTATTCTCAAAGGCCTACGAGAGGAGCTTCGACGACGAGAAGGGCTCAACCTACTTGCAGCTCTTTGTGGAGGACCACACCCACATGAAGAAGATACTGAGGTGTTCGCTGAGTACCAGGACGACTACTTCATCGACGGTCTCTCGGGTGAGATTTTGAACACAGTGTGTGCGAGCCGCGAGGCAAGAAGAACTGGATTGGTGCCGCGGGAGGCAGGCATGGAAGAAGGTACCTAGACGCGAGATGCTCGAGAACGGCAAGAAGGCAGTGACCTTGAAATGGACCGACACGAACAAGGGCGACCGAACTCAACCACGGTATCGTTCGAGGCTGGCCGCGAGGGAGATCAAGAAAGCTATGAGGTTCGAAGATCGACCAGATCAAGCTGAACTATTCTCGGCCATGCCACCGCTGGAAGCGTTCAAGGCGATGGTGACCATCTTCGTCGGCCGCGTGAACGACGCCCACCACGACGGCGACACAGAGGAGATCATTTACAAGTTTTTACGACATCTCGAGGGCGCACTTCTATGGAGATGTGAATCGCGAAGTGTATGTGGAGTTACCCGAGGAGGAGACCCACGACGACCCAGAACCCATGGTGGGCAGGCTACTCAAGACGATGTACGGCACAGTAGATGCAAGTCATGTGTGGCAAGACAGCTACATCGGCCCGACGAGCTCGCACGGCTTCAAGAAAGGCGCCTCGATCCCAGCGATGCTGTACCACGCCGGGCGTCATGTACAAGCGGAGGTCCACGGCGCCGATTTTGGTGTGATTATGCGCAAGTCCCAGGAGGGGTGGTTCGACGACGTTCTTTCGCGCCACGACTTTAAGGTCGCGGTAACTCTGAGCAGCAGGCCCCTGGAGGAACAGAGCGTGGTCTATCTCAACCGGGTGTTGATCTGGAACCCCTTCGAGCGTTCGGCCTACCTCGAAGCGGACACCCGGCACGTGAAGAAGGTGATCAGGGACCTGGGCTTGGAGAATGCGAAGGAGGTGACTGCCCCGGCTGTTGAGAGGTCTGTCGCGGAGATCCTGAGCAACAGCCAGACCTCGCCAAAGCTGGGCGACGAGAAGGTCTGAAGACCTACCGCAGCGTGACCATGCGGATCATGTACCTGAGTCTGGACCGGCCCGACATCAGCTACAGCGCGATCATGCTGGCTGGACACATGAAGGAGCCGAAGGAGACCCACATGGAGGATCTGAAGCGCATTGGCCGCTACTTGAAGAAGTACCCCGCTGGAAGGTTGCTGTTTCCTGCTCAGAAGCTGCCTAGAAAGTTTTGCGTTTACTGTGACAGCGACTACGCGGGGGATCCGATTACGAGGCGTTCCCGAAGTGGAACGGCCATTCTATGGGGGGCGCATCTGCTGAAACATGGCAGGTCGGTCCAATCCACGGTGAGTTTGAGCAGTGGCGAGGCCGAGTGCTATGCATTACTGCGTGGAGCCTGCCACGGTCTTGGAGCACAGGCTACTTTGGCCGACCTTGGAGTTGAGGTGGACTACGAGAGGGAGCTTTACATTTTCAGTGATAGCTCAGCCGCGAGAGGATGTGCAAGCCGACAGGGGCTGGGAGCTGTTCGACACTTGGATGTTCGATTTCTATGGCTGCAGGAACGTATTCAGAGGAAAAGGCCGTTGCTGGAGACGGTCGAGGGGCACTGGAACCCGGCGGACCTGTTCACGAAGGCCCTCGACCAAGACACGCTGGAGCGGTTGATGACGCTGATTTGTTTCGCGATGAAGTTTGACGGTAGCGTGAGGCACCGTGTACTGTGATATTTGACGCCGGCTGTTTGCCGGCGCATGTCTCGCGAAAAATGATCGAGGCGCTGGTTCCGTTTGGACTTTCGCCCTCCGCCTCCGCCCAGCCGCGGCGACGAAGGCCGAGGAGGGGCGTTCGGAGATCTAGGGCCAGCAACTTGTTTCGGTGGTTTCCCTGGAACTTAAGTGAGTTTCGGATTTGATCTAGAGGTTGTGTTTAAGAAGAGAAAGACCAAAGGTGATTCAGAGCTATGTCTGTAGTCCATCGTGGTTCAAAAGATAGAAAGAGGGTGCGAGCGCCAGGGGGGGGGGCACTTCAATTGAAACATACAATGCGCACCCGAGGGGGGATCAACCATAATTATTCTTCAGAAATGAAACTTCAACAACAACAGCAACAACAATAACAAGAACAACAACAACAACGACAACGACAACGGCAACGACAACAATCAGTTTCAGACTGCTCGCTCCTATCTGCTCACGTGCCAATCGATACGTATACAAAACCCTCGGTACCCTCTTTCGTCGTCTTCGATCGTGCCCCCTTGGGGTTATATATTCCTTCCCTGCCGCGTGTATCTAGCGCAGTCCCTCAAACAAGGGAACAAGGGAAGAGAGGACGGGTAGAAAGGGGAGGGAGAAGAATGGAGCACGAGAGAAATTCGCAGGAGGGGAACAAGGAGCAGAAAATAAGTGGTAGAACGAGACGGAGCAGGAGTGGAGCACTTAGGAGGATTTTCACTTTCGCCGCGCACCCAGGGACCATGAATGTCCGCTCGGCCCCCTCACGCTGACATGTTTTTCCAATCAGAGCTTTGTTGCCCAGTTTCGGCCTCTGCCGGGGCCCAGGGGCCATCAAGCAGGCGTTCGGGGCGAATCTTCGACCCCCGTGACGGGGTCGGGATTGGGGCCGCGCGTTGTCAGCATCAAATCGTCGGAAGTCCGAGGGCCAAGACCTCCGACGCCTCGGAGAAATTAAAACGGAGGCTTTTCCCAACCATCCTGTGGTGTTGGGTCTTCAGTTTGAAGAGACGGTCCCAGCGTTCGTCTCTTCTTCAATCCTCCTCCTGCTCCTCCTCCCCCTCTTCCTTCCGTGCCCTCCTTGCTTATGCTCTTCGCATGTTTTTGTTCCGGCACGCCCCTCACACGTTTCGTGGCCCCATAGGGAGCCCCACCCAAGGCCCAAAGCCAGCGTTCGCATTCGCCCACCGCACCCATTTTGGCACACACGCTTCGTGGCCCCATAGGGAACCCCACCGAAGGCCCACATGCTAGCGTTCACATACACCCGCCGCACCCATTTTGGCACACCCCTCCCACGCTTCGTGGCCCCATAGGGAGCTCCACCGAAGGCCCAACCAAATGCCAGCGTTCGCATGCGCCCACCGCGCCGATTTGGGCACGCCTTCACATGTTTCGTGGCTCCATAGCGAGCCCGGGAACCCCACCGAAGGCCGAAATGCCAGCGTTCGCGTGCGCCCACCACACCCATTTTGGCTCACCCTTCGCACGTTTCGTGACCCCGTAGGGAGCCCCACCGAAGGCCCACATGCCAGCGTTCGCACGCGCCTACCGCACCCATTTTGGCACGCCCCTCTCACGTTTCGTTGCCCCATCGGGAGCCCCACCGAAGGCCCAAATGCCAACTTTCGTATGCGCCCACCGCGCCCAATGTGGCACGCCACTTCACACGCTTCGTGGCCCCATAGGGAGCCCCACCCAAGGCCCAAAGCCAGCGTTCGCATTCGCCCACCGCACCCATTTTGGCACGCCCTTCGCAGGACCCCGTAGGGAGCTCCATCGAAGGCCCAAATGCCAGCGTTCGCATGCGCCACCGCACCCATTTTGGCACACCCCTCACACGCTTCGTGGCCCCATAGGGAGCCCCGCCGAAGGCCCACATGCCAGCGTTCGCGTGCGCCCACCGCGCCCATTTTGGCACGCCCCTCACACGCATCGTGGCGCCATCGGGAGCCCCACCGAAGGCCCAAATACCAGCGTTCGCATGCGCCACCGCACCCATATAGGCATACGTTCCACACGTTTCGTGGCCCCATAGGGAGCCCCACCGAAGGCCCACATGCCAGCGTTCGCATGCGCCCACCCCACCCATTTTGGTACGACCCTCATACGTTTCCGGGCCCCATGGGGAGCCCCATTGAAGGCCCAAATGCCAGCGTTCGCATGCACCCGCCGCACCCGTTTTTGCACACCCCTCACACGTATAGCCCCATTGAAGTGCTCCACCGAATGCGGTGCATACAACGCCGGTGCCCACAACTGGAGACTGTTGGGTTCTTCGCCAGGCTAATTTTCCACCGCTTTCGAACTGCAGGGACGAATGCCCTTCCCCGCACCATGTAGGCACACGCTCGCATCACACACACACACACACACACACACACACACACACACTTCCTGGCCGCCACCGAAAGCGGTAATTGCCCACCATGCGGCGCTCACACTTGCACGTGGGAGGGTCCTTCGCCCAGGTATTTGTTCCTCACTGAATTCGGCGTCTGGAGGCGGGCTTGGCCACACGCGGCGATCGGCAAACGATCCGGGATGAGACACAGGTCCTGGAAAGGGAGTCGGGATTTCCGGGGACCCTGTATGGAAAACGCCCATTCGTCGGAGGTCTCGGGAGCCCATGGGGAAGGGGGGGATGGGGCGCGGAAGGCGGGGCGGGGAATTCTTGGGAGTTGTTTTTCCTCCTTGCTCCCTCTAGCTCCCGCGCACACGGGGGAAGATTTAGGGGAACAAGCAATAACATAAACATATCAACTCGGAGGTCCACGCGGATTTCTCGGATCGGCGCTGGACCTCCTCACCTGGCGCGCGGAGCGCGCCAGGGGCGGCGACGGAGGCTCCGCCAGGGGAGTCTAGCGCCGATCCGAGAAATCCGCGCGAGTTTTATGTTTATGGCATTGTTCGTTCTCTTATAAGACGACGGCGAGGACGACGATCACGGATCGAGGGCTTAGTTTGGGTTGCATCGAGGAGCGAGTTTGGGTCTCTTGAGTTTCGACGGTTTTGCTGCGGAGAGCGTGACGTTCTCACACCAAAAATCGATGGACGTCCTGGGGTCTCAGGGCTGGGTTTTTTGAGGAAGGTCTCTTGTGAACTGGCCTCCCTTGTACGACGACGAGGACGACGACCGAGGATCGAGGGCCAGATTTGGGCTGCAACGAGGAACGAGTTTTGGGCTGTTGGCCTCGTCGGACCCTTTTGCAGCGGCCTCCCCGAGGGCTTCCTGGCCGTTGGGAGACCCACAGGGAAAAGGAGGTGGAG